TGGGGTTGTTTTCAGGTAATCATAATTGCCTCCCTCATCCTAAGCATCATTCAGAGCCTTGTCCTAGAAGAGAAACAAGAACCAGAGACTGAGAAACGTCACCTTCTTGTAAGTCTTCTGGGGTTCAGTTCTTCCCTATATAAAGAGTACTCATGGATCAATAGGACAGAGGGGAGCACAGTGAAAGAGGCCGGTGAAGACAGATGTGCAGGTCACAAAGGAGACGTAGAAACATAAAACGCGTACAGAGGCCTCAGCCTCAGTCACACCGTCAGAAAGCGGCAGGAAGGGGCTGCTCGTCTGTTACCCACCTGCCACACCCTTTAGGGCACTTTCAGAATGGACACCCAGTATTCAAACAGGTGCTTCTCTAACTCCCATTTTTAGGACTTGATCCGAAGAAAACAATTAAGCATGGGTGTCTGATTTCAATATGACAGTGGCCATCACCATCACCAATTAGTTTATAATTGATAATAGTGAAACACCAAGGGGCAAAGGCCAAAAAATGGTTCTAAACAGTGCAGTGGAATATGAGGCAGTCACAAAGTAATTTCTCTGTAATTCCAAAGTGTTTCTTTGTAACTTAATCACCTGGGGAAAGCTCAAGCAAAGAATGCCTGCGCTATGGTGCGGAGCCCTGGTACAAAATGGTCCTATTTAATAAAACCAGTTACAGAGCTGTGTGGGGAAGCCCACTCGTGCAAGACTAACATGACTGCAGAGGGGTGAGAGTGGGCAGCTGCCCTCGGCTTCTTGCCTCATGTGCGGGGTGTGAGCTTTCGTTAGTGCAAATGCCGTCTTTTTTAATAAGAAAGAAGTCATATGTAAGAAAAGAAACAGTCTAACATGATCATCGGTGTTTGACAAACATGTCTTGTTTCCTGCCTCTCTTTACCCTAGTTCTAGTTTTTCTTTGCCCCTGAGGTCTGTGCACTCCCTTGGGAATGTTCAGCGTGAGACTGAAGGAGGGCAGATGATTCTTCAGTGAAGCCTGGGAGGACCTGGAGGGGACCTGTGATGGCTGGGTTAGGCCCCTGACCCCATCCAGGGGTCCACCCAGAACGTCCTCATGGAGTTGCTGGGACATGAAGATTTTGAGAACCACTCATTCTAACCTGGCTGAGGACCAAGCTTTGTTCACAGGACTTGTCGCCCACACTGGGTGATTTTTTCGCATGGAAGGAGATGCTCCTAAGAGTGATACTGAGCAAATGGGTGTAAACCAGGTCTGTCTCAGGCAGGCAGGGCATGTGGTCACCATGGTTGCAGGGAATTCACAGGCTCCAAGCAGGGGCTGCTGAGAGACACGGAGCTGTCCACCTCTCCCAGGTCCAGATGCGGGAACCGGGGCCAGAGCGGAGAAATGTGCTGCCCACTGTGGCCAAGCCACCTGCAGCCCGGGCATGCTTTTCTGAAGCTTCATTCCAAGATTCCTGTATGTGTGTGTGTGTGTGTGTGTGTGTGTGTGTGTGCGTGTACCTGTTTGTGTCTGTATGCATGCATCTGTTTATGTGTGTGTCTGTGTATATGAATGTGTGTATATGTGTTTGGGTATGGATGTGTATGTATATGTGTTTGTATGTGTGTATGTGTATATGTACATGTTTGTGTGTATGTGTTTATGTGTATGCATGTGTATATGTATGTGTGTAACTGCCTGTGTGTATGTATGTGTTTGTGTGTCTGTGTGTCTGTGCCTGTGTGTGTCTGTGTGTGACTTTGAAATGACACAGCAGAGAGCACGTGGAACTTCCTACTCTTCTCTCCTGAAAGACACTAGGAGTCAGACCAGAACTGGCCCGCCTTTGGCTCTCAGTTCTCACGAAAGCAGTGTGCGGAGACCAGCCCAGGGGCAAGGCAGTCCACGAATGCTCTCCCTGACCCGGGTCTCCATGCGTCCCCGGGCACTGATGCAGCACAGGAGGCGTACAAAGTCCTGTCGCGTGATGCTGCTGACAGGTGTGCCCGTTGTCATAAGCAGACGTGACCAGGGAAGGTCTGAAGGACAACTCGCTAACGAAGGTGGAGAGGTGAACAGGTTCCCTTAGTTACGTGTCCTTTTATCGTGGAAACAGAGTAGAGCATTTCCTTCTCCGCAAACTTTCCCAGGGTAAGGTCATGTCCATGTCCACTTTGCCTTTTGGAAAACATGCTTTTAAGGTACAAACTTGTTTCCCCAAAAGCTGGGCAGGCAGTGGCTAAAGGTTTTGGTGTCACAAATACTGTGTATATTTAAACAATTCTAAGATATTTAGTCCCCTACCCACCCTTACATTTTACGTCTTTAAAATCAGATTGCATCTTACTATATTAACAGAATCATAAAGTCTGAGTTCTTCCAGGCAGGTCTGTGATTCTTCTGCTGGTCACCAGGGGGCACTGGCAACCAGGGACGGCTTCAAATTTGAATTCTTGCCTGAGGGTTGTTTTTTAAGAACACATTCAGAGGTAAACTTGGGGAGCAAGTCTATATGGATTGCTTTTTGGACTTTATCTTCTTGGAGAGTTTTGCTGTTTTTTTGTGTGTGTGTCTAACCAATACTAGGGTATAGGAATGTGGATTTCCTCACTCTCCTTGTGTGCTGGGCGGGTGTTTTCTCCCTGTTCATCCTTATCCTGGAGGTGTAGGCCCAGTTCACTGGGAGTGTCGGGGTCCTCTTAAACACCCCCACACTGGGTGGTCTTCTTTCTTAGTGCCATATAGAAAGTGGGACAGCTCGGAGGGGATGGAGCTTAGAGCCAATGAACTGTGGCAGCCGGACTTGGAGATGTGACCCCTGCCTCACCTCTAGAGGCTCATTTTCTCTTTTGCAAGCGGGATAGTCATGTTTTCTGAGGGTGCAGTAAACCGACACCTGTAAACGCCAGGCCCCTGGCAGGTGCACGCTGGATGCCGCTCCAGGTCTGGAATCCTGTGGCTCCGAAGGCCCAGGGCCCTTCCCCGTCTCTCCCTCCAGCCCCTGCTCTGTGCTTCGCACCCCATCCAAGGTCAAAGAGGAGGGGCTGAAGGTTCCAGGACTGTCTTCTTACACAGGCCTGGGAGGGCCCCGGGCTCGGCGGAGAGGTAGCCGGTGAACAGACCTGACTCTGGCTTTGGGGGTATCTGCGGGCCCAGAGCACAGCCCTGTACAGAGTTCAAATCTGAGTAGGCCACGTGGTCATTTCTGTCTATTTCATTAAGTAGCATATGAGGCTCATAGTAACATCTACTCTATACTCTTCATTGTGAGTCTATTTGTGCAAACGGCTTGGCGAGTACATGGCATTTGGTAAACACTCCGTGTTTGTTGCTTATTCTGTTTTCCAGCAGTAATGCAGCTCCTACAGAGAGTCCCTGAGCAAGCGTCAATGAGGGGTGTCTGTGTGACACGGGGGGATGAACATTCTCCCCTGTGCTCCATCGCCCTCCCCGGGGACCCCGTGCAGTGCAGAGCACGTGCTGAATGGCGCAGGCTGGACCATGGGGGGGGAATCCTGCCCTTTGCTTCTCCTGGGAGGACCTCCCCTGGCCTCAGAATGGACCCTGTGCCTCCCCAGGTCCATTCCTGCTCCGACACCAGGTCCTGCAGATGAGATGTGGACACTATTGAATAACATTTTTTAAAAAACATTAGCCATTCTGTTTGCAGGCATCAGGTCATTAGTGAACCGAGTACATCTCTAACAAGAGCGAATGGCAGGGATTTGTGCAGCTCTGGACACTGGCATTCACAAGGGCTAATTGGGAAGAGTCTTTGCGAGACACGCTGCTCTCCCTCGCTCTCTCGGTGCGGAGAAAACACATTCAGTTTGGACTTCAGGACCCCAGACCACCTGGTGCTTGGCGAAGGGGTCAGAGGGGAGGTCGAGGGAAGCGCAATGTTTTTTCTCCTTTTGTTTTGTTGGCACATAGACACAATACATTTCCAATTGTGACCTGCAGGTGAGGGTGTTAATTTTGGAGTCTGCAACCTTTAGGTGGCCATCAGACACTCGCCGGGAATGGTGCCCGTGCACAGGAGTGCGGGTTCCCCACACGGAGGAATGCAGAATCTCCCGGGAAGCTGGGCGGCTCACAACAGATTGGGCACTGGAGCTTTGCGGAGTATCAGAGCAAACTCCTGGAATTTGCTAGCAAATTCCCTGCTGTTCTTGCCGGAGGTTCCTGCAGACACCAGTGCCTCCTGTGCTCAGTCCAGCGAGGTTTGTCTGCTCCCATCAGTGCAAAGGAGCAGCCCAGTTAAGTAGGGACAGCACCCATCTCCCCACAGCACCTTACAGTTTAGAGCTGGGGAGAAAAAGGAGCATCGGAAAAAGAGATCATCCATTTGGCGAGGGCTGCCATTTTGGGACACTTCACCTAATCAAGACATTGCTTGGAGCTTTCCATGATAACCTGTGCAGGAGGCACATTCATTATTCTCCTTGTACTACTCAGGCTCAGAGGGGCTACTACACTTTTCAAAGGTCACACAGCAAAGAAGTAGCAGAGGTGGAATTCAAACCCAACTCTGAATCCACAACCCATCTTCCTTCTAGTATGTCTATCTCAGGAGGCCCGCAGACAACTGGGAAAAGGGGAGAATACATGTCTCCTACAATGTAAGAAAGGCAGTGTTTCTCACTAATGCTTACGTGAAGTTACTGGGTGCCTTCATACATTATGCTACAGGAGTTGCAACTGATGGGAATTAACCTAGAAGCAAAAGCAAGTGAGTGCGAACGTCACTGGAGTTAATGTCACAGTCACTGGGGAAAAGGGCTCCTTGTTCTTTCTCTTATCTTGTCCTTCAAGAGCCATGCGGAGGCTCTCTTTATCTAAATGGCATCTCCTTTTATGGCCTTCAGTCTACTCATGGGTTTTCAAACAGAAAAAGAAAAGACAGAACCAAACCAAACACACACGCCACAAACACACCAGCCACACCGCAGCCCTGGGCTCTCTCTCTGGTCCCACAGTGAACATTTACGACAATTGACTTCAGAAAAAAAGAGCCGCCATAGAGACCCAGCTCTACCTTGTGCTCCAGGCTGGAGTCTTTAAACATCAGTGAGAATGGCTTGATATGCTCTCTTCTCAATTTATCGCCACTCCGCAAGTCGATGGTATGTTCTATTCGCTTGTTAATTTCCTCAGGCCCAGACTGGACATGCAAAGCTTGTGCAAGATGGTTTGGAAGTAGATTTATTGAATTTCTTGTTAGGGCAGCCAGAGTCTAGGGGGAAAGCACATGCAAACACAATAAACCTGCGAGTCCCCTTCGGATTAAAAAGAAATGCAATGTTTTTAAATTAAGGTTGCATCGCAAACAGTCATAGCATTCCATGCGGTTGTATTCAGTGAGACCTACAGAAGTCGGTATGTTAGCATTTGGTGTAGGGAAACACGACCTGGCAGGTTAGCACATCCTCTGTGTAGGTGCACTGAATTCCTTTGCTTCGGGTGTTTGGGAGAGCTGTAGGCTTGGAAATGTTAATCAAGACCGTTTCTCTAACCAGGCACGTTTCTGGTGTGAGAGAAAGAACCGATACAAGTCACAGAAAGTAAAACGTATCTGAAAAGCCCACCGAAATGATCATCTCCAACCAAGTAGATTCCACATTCTCGTGTGGTCTTTCCTCTAATGGTGGTGGAGAGACATGGCTTGCATTTTTTTTTTTTTTTAAGCATTCCTCATGAACAGACAGCCAAATGTGCCGAGCGAGATCTTGATAAAGATTGTTAGACTTTTAGGCATCACAAATGTTTTTTCCCCGTAGTCCATTATATATCTATATTTGCATATAGATATATGTGTTTAATTTCTTTTAGGCAAAAAAAAAAAATGCAAGTAGCTGCAGCCTCTCCAGTTCACAGGGTTAAACAGCAGGGGGTGTGAAGAGGCACCCCCCCCCCCCCCCCCCCCCCGTGGTTGGTCCCTGGGCATGGCTACATGGATGCAGAGAGAGCATTAGCTTGTGAAGACACGCCAGGTGTGGCAGGGAGGCTCCTGTGTCTAGGTGATTAATTCAGTGCTGGCAACAAGACCAATGGACCGGATCTAGCCAAATGCAATGCTCGCTTACAGCTCCAAGGTAAGGCAACTTCTTTGACAAAAAGGGGAGGACTGGAGCTGAAGGCATAGGAACAAGGATGCTCATCTCTGCCCCCAGAGGTAGCCTTGGGGAGAGGCTGAGGATGCGGTGCATCTGTGGAGGGGCCGTGAGAACTCCCAGCCTCAGCCATACATACTCATCGCACCTGCTTTACTCCGCCAGCCCCGCGGCGTGGCCATGCGCAGACCACAGGCTAGACTGAGATAAGGCGATGGGGCTATTGAATGGCAGCCTGTGAGAGCTGACAGCACCTTGGAGGCCCTCGTGCCTGGACCCTTCCTACATCTGTGAGCCTCCAGGAGACAAGAGTCATCAGCTCATCTGCAGCCGGGTCAGATCCACTGACTTCAGAGCCGGAGTCAGAGGCTCTGACCTCATGGAGCCTTCTAGCCCGTTCCCTCAGGAGTCTTCCTATGGTACTGCAGGACTCTTCATTTTAACCTTCATGGAGACAGTCAATGTCACCTAGGTTGCACGTCTCTAAAGAATGTCACAGCAGGGCTTCATCTCTGGCAGAACTGACTGGACCCCTCTTCTCTAGCCCCAGGATGGGGTGGCCTGTGCCTCCATGAGAGAGGAGAGCGTATGTTCTCAGGACACCGGGGCAGTGAACTTCAGCTCCGAGTACCACAAAGGAAAAGATAGTTGTTAGTGGGGGAGGTAGGGCAGGAGGCGAGGTGAGGAGAAGGGCTGGAGCTGAGAGAAGGGAGCAGGGACCAATGTTCCAGAAAACAGAACAGCGGGATCCATGCAGGGCCAGAGGGCTTGAGCCCCTGGGATTACATGCATTAGAACAGCACCTCAGAAGGCAAAGGAGATGACTGTCCACCACTCTGTGCACCTCCCATTGGCTTCTTGGGTGGAAATCCGTTATAAATAGTTTAGAAAATGACACGATGTACTTCTCTGTCTTGGAGAGGAGGTGGAAAAGATGCTTAGCTGCCTTTGGGCATACATTCTGGCTTAGAGATGCCAAGATGCACCCCTGGCAACTGCTTGGAGCTGGGGTTTAACAGCTGGAGATACATCAGCTAGTGATCTGCACATAGTTAGGCATTTCTGTCTCTCTCTGCAATTCTTATTTTCTTACAGTTTTCCTTCTTTGAACTGAACTGAGCCGACTATGCAGTCTACCAGTCCCTCATGCCTTCGGCTGCTCTCGGACCTTTGAGTTTCACAGAGAAGGGGAGTTAAACAAAAACAAAAACAACTAAAACATTTTTGGGACTTATTTATATAAATTACAGCAGCAGCAATTCTCACAACTACAGCTCTCTCATATGACTACCATTTCATATAAGAAAGGTTTTGTTTGTTTGTTTTTCAACAAGAATGGTGTAATCTCAGAACAAAAGATGGGCCCCTGACATTGGATGCATTTGATTGAATGAATAACTCATTCAATGAGCTTGGTCCTCATGTTTCTCATCTTGATGGGCATTGGTCAAATGTCACCAGGGACGGACACTGGTCTGTAGGGGGTGCTTTGCGAAGCTAGGAGTAAGCGTCGCTTTCTGGGGGCCTGTGGCACTGACCTCTTTTGTAAGGCAGAGGCCAAGACAGTCTCTCCCTTCTGTTCCTCTGCCCCTCACAAAATTCTGTTGTCTGTCTGTGTGGCTCTTTCAAACAAGAGGACCATCTGTTTCTTTCACCTTTGCCACCAGGTTATGGTTAAGAGCTGAGAAGGAACACTTGCATCAACACGTCAATGATGCTGAGGTGGAGAATTCTCGTCTGAGCAATTATTTTTATTCTTTGCAATTATAGCCCGAGACATTTTTGCACTGAGCGCTCAGTGAGCCCTTTTCTGATCATTTGTTTTCTCAATTACACACGACAGTTATGCTTTCTGTTTGACCAGCAATCTCTTGTATCTCATACCTTTGGGATATATATGTATGCTCAAGGGAAGACCAACCTCGACTCAAAGAAGGCAAGCAAACTGGAATCAGGAAGGGTAACCGTATGCTTTCATTTACCCACCAATGCACCGGTGCAAAGCATGCATAGCTCTGGAGGTGACCTTGGTTTGAGATTAGCTGTGCTCCCCTCCTCCACTGGTAACGGCCACTAAGATTTGACCACGCATTTACCTTCAGTGGAATAACGCTGCTAACACCAAAATCCACAGACTTACAGCTTCACGGTGACTCACTTGGAAGCAGTATTGGAAAAATGTGTAGCCTTATTTGCCTAGAGTTATACTGCAAGGAGCTATTTTTGATACATTATGGCTTTCTCTTTTTCAGATATACAACACCACAGTGAGCAAGCTGGGATCATGTAAAAATTAGCGTAAGCTTTCAAATGATTCCAATCATAAATTGACCTCCAAAAGGTTGAGTGTCCTTTCATATCAGCAACTTAAAGCAATTGGTCAGAGAATTGGAAAAACAAATGGCCGAAATGGAAGGAAATGGGAAATGCCATGAGAATAACTGAATTATATATAATTGAATACATATATGTGAATATATGTTTCAAGGTATAATCGAAGTATATATTGTACTTATTTACAATAATAAATATGCACATTTATTTATGTACTCTACCTGGTGTTTTCAGATAGTTGGGAGGTCAGATTGGTCAACACTGGGACATAACAAAATTTGCAGCTGAGCTGGCCTCTCATATGAGTCTCTTCCCAGAAAGACATCGCTGCCCCGAGACTGATCCTATTGGAGATCTGTGCCTTCCTCAGATGTTTCAGGAATTACCTTTTCACCCACAGATGCTCAAGACAGACTAATGCCCAAATGAGAACCAGAGTCCTCTCTGAACCCACATTTCTGAACATAGAGCCTTGCATGAGAGTATAGGGGTTCTCATGAAAATTATAATCAGAGGTCCTGGGTAGGGTATCTTTCATAAACGTCATTGGAATGGGGTAGGGAAAGTCATGAACCCTCTTAGGCTTATCATTTGGTTTATGACCAGAAGACTTTTCTTTGGGTATTGTTTCCATCTTTGCACACTGAAACCTATTTTCCTACAGGTCCTATCACTTCAGGGATGGCCAACACCTTTGGTATTCCTTAATCAGTTTGTATCAGCAAATAAATTCTTCCCAGTAAGATTTTAGGCTGAAGGTGCCCTCTCTAGAACTATCTAGTCTTGTTGAGTCACAATATACTTTAATAATTCTAGATCACACATATCAATCTCAAAATACCCTCTAAAGCATTTCTATAGAGATCATAAATCAACTGACATAATTTTAGTGCTGAGGTCTGGAGATGTCACCACTCTATTTCATCACTAGATCCTCCTAAATAATTCTTTTCCCAAAACTGTGTTCCAAGGAACACAAGAATGAAGGGATACTTGTTTACAAAATGGTTCTGTGGCCCGACCAGTTTTGCAAATGTGGATTCATTATTTGTTTACTGCCATGTCTCTTCACCGCTCTCCTTGAAAGAAGAGACTTTGTCTTTTTTGTTAATTTCTTTGTCCTCGGTGTGGATGCCAATGCCTGACACTAAGTAGCCACTCTGTATGTGAACGAAAAAGTTCTTGTATCCTTTCACCGGAGTCTCACAGTAACATTACTGAAATAAAGACACCGGTAAGTTCTACAGAAAGAAGACTTTAAACTCTGCGTCTTCCAATCTTTTATGACCACGAAACCCTTTTGACTCTAATAACCTCTGTGTGTTCCATGGAAGGCAGTTTGGGAAACAGTGCTCTAGCGCTCCCCTGCCTTTGTTCAGCACTTCTACCCGGTGGTCTTGTTTCTGATCCTGAACAAGATCTATTTACCTTTCTCCATGTGGCCCCCTCCTGGTGTCCAGAATTTTCTTCCTTAGGTTCATGGCTTTGATTTCCCCAATTGCTCCACAGGTGACATGGTTTCTACACATGGCACAATGTTTTCTAGTCTGTCGGTCCCGAGTGTGCTACTGTGCAGAATAAGACCCAGTGCAAATGGCATCTGACTTTGTGCTGGAGCCCAGGACCTGCCACCGTGTGATCTATAAACACCATTCTATGCCGTGCATTGGAACATGGAGCGTCTGGCTGCACGTGGACTGTGGAAGTCAGCAGTGAGAGGGCTTCATCTTTTAGATCCCCTGGGATGGGAATATGGCCGTGTTGAGATGTAGCTCTAGGTAGCTGTGAC